AGAAATGTTCCAGGCGGGAAAGGCTAAGGGAGGGCTATATATATATATATATATATCCACGAGAGAGAAAGGTTTATGGTCCTCTCTAGGGCCTGGAGATGTTGACAGTTCCGTGGTCTTTCCAGGGGTGGTATTAAAAATATTTAACACCCAGCACGGCATGGCACCAACTAATCAGATTGTTTGCAGACAAACACCTTTGCAGCCTGGCAGGTGGATGCCAACCGGACCCGAGCACGCCGGCGGACAGCAGACGTGCAGCCTCTGTCTGCACCTGGACCCTCCCGGCCCACATCACTGCGCAGCTGCCCGGCGTCCCTGGCCCGGTCTCTCCCCAGAGCCCCCCAAGCAGAAGGTCTGAGCCCTCCGTGCTCTTTGTGCCGCTTTCTCTGTGCTCCCGTACACCAGGCCCTCAGAGCACCCCTCCTCAAACTCTCTTTTTCTTGTTTGCACGTCTGAAGTTCTTTTAGAAGCTTCTTGAGGACAGAAACCGTATCTTCTTTGTCTTTGTGTCTCCAGTGCCCGAGACAGAGCTGGTGCCCGGCAGGAAGGGGTGTGACTGCTGAGTAAGCCTCCTGCTTGAGACTGTGACAACCGGGCTCTGGCCGGGAGAGGTGGGTGGAAGTTGGTGCATGGGGCGCCTTGGGATGCGTTGTGACCGATCTGCTTCCCGCCTGGAATTCAGACGTGATACCAAGAGGCTCGGCAGCTCTCTGGCAGCCGGGACACCACGAGCATGAGGACGAGAGCGGGCACGCTGGGGCAGCAGAAGCAAAAGGCGGGAAGAGCCTGGGTCACGAGTCATCCCTGTATCGGTCCTGTGTTGCCCGGCCCGCATTCTTGTTAGGCGAGACCCGAAGATCTCTCTCCTTCACTTGTTTAAATCCAGAGGCATTTGGTTTTTCTCTTTCACGCACCTAAAACCAAACCTGACTGGCAGGGACCTACAATTTAGGAGTTCTCACAGCAGCCAGGACACTCAAAGGCCGCAGGCTCTAGTTTTCACTCCGTCCTACAGGTCGCCACTCAAAGTGTGGTCCCCGGGCACCAGCACCCCCTGGGAACTTGTTAGGTGCGCAGAATCTCGGGCCGCACCCCACACCTGTGCAATCAGAATTCAGCATTTTGATGAGACTTGTCGGTGGATCCTACGCACATTTGAGGCTGAGGAACGCCGTCTCAAGAGACTCTTCCCTGTCCCTGGAAGTGTGTGTGTGTCTCCCTCCCGTTTTGATTCCTATAGCTGTGGAACACACCTTCCCCGGGTGTCACTGGATTTGTCACACCCATGCAACCCACATTACTCTGGACCCCTCTGTTTGGCCTCCCAGTGGAAGGGTCCTGCAGACGCCACTTCTCAGAAGAAGGTCACAGGGTCACAGAGAGGTTCCTTGGCCACCCCGGGCTCGAAGCATTGCACAGCGAGATGGAGTCAGGTTCTCGGGCAGAAAGGGTGGACAGAGCAACTCTCCGAGCTAAGGAAGCAGGTGCCGCAGGGAAGACCCGGCCCTGTGCCCCGGCACGGGGACAGGCAGCGAGGAAGCACCGCCCTGGGCCTCCGAGAGCCTCCGGCTGCAGCCAGGAGCCGAGCAGACCTTGCTGTCTTTCTCGCACGCAGTAACACAGGCGAGCTGTGCCTCTGGAGGCTTCTGTAGCCTCCTAGCAGTTTGACGCTCCATCATATTTAATATCTGTCACTGTACAAATGTTTTCTTTTATCAAATCCCGCTAACACTGACAGAGCCACAAAAAAAGCCATCACTCCCCAATCCAGAGCAGCACAATCTGTCCCTCAAACCATTCTCTTCTCCCTTTATTTGTAACCGTAAGTCTGACCGCCGAATCGCTCAATGCACAGTATAAACCTCCATAAATAACAACGTCCCAAGTAGAGCCACTCAGCCGTGGAGTGCTTTCCAACCTCTGCATCAGTTCCTCGGGTGTGAGGGGTTTCCCAGGCATTTCTGTCCATAAACATACAGCCAGCTGCCGCGTAACCCTCACCACCCTCACTTGTATTTTCTTTTATTGCCATTATCCTTGGCCTCTTGACAAGAGAATAAAATACTCTTCCTGGAAGATGAAACTGCTCTGCCTCCTGCATGAATCTAACTCATCCAAATCCCCAGTTTTTTTGGTTTTATTTCCATCCCCACCCCCAAGGACATTGCCTCCTCGCAGTGTGAATGGGGGTTTCAGATTGGCGTGTTGTTCCATCCGCTTTTCTTCCGACATAACCTTGGCCTGTGGCAGGCACCGTCGGAGCCGTGTTGGGATTCCCGCAGCCAGGAACCAACAGGCACCTGCCGATTGGCCCGCTGCGCCCGTGTGCTGCGCTGGGCCGTGCCAGGAAGAGAGAACATCCGAGGCGTGTCCCCGAACCCCAGGAAGCACACAGGTGGTAGGGAAGACAGACACCAGTGACGGCAGGGCCCAGGGGAAGCTTGGGGGCAATGGAGCCGGAAGGGTTTGGACCAAGGAAACGTCACGGCCAGTCAGGACAGTGTGCTTCCTGATGGCGGGGGCATCTGCCCACACACTCGCTGCCCAGCAACCAAGAAAGCGACAGGCATATTGGGGACGTGGCCCCGGGACCATCCCTCCAGGAAGGCCACCCCCCTCTCCCTGTTGCGTTGGGTGCAGGTCGGGCTGAGAGACAGCGTGACAGCATGTCCTCCCTCTCTGCCCGTCTGTCACGACAGCCTTCAGCCTGCTGGTGTTTCCCCCAAGTCTGGGTCGTTGTTGTCAATGAGAACAAGCACGTTAGTAATAGGTGGGGGTGGGTGGGGAATGGAGCCAGGCAGCACTGATGTCCAAAAAAGGAGACAGACCTGAAGAATGAGCTCACCCAGCCCTGGGGCCCGGGGACTCACACTTCCAGCCCTCTGCCTAGCTAGCAAAGACACCCAAGCCCAGGGCTGCTCCACCTCCCCTCCTGCCTCCCCTGGCTCGGTTCCCCTCCAGGCTCTCCACGGAGAAGGAGCCTCTTGGATGGAGACTTGGCTTTGCAAAATGCACGGGCCGAGTACGAGCCAGACTCACACGAACCCTCCTTTGTGCTTAGACGGGGATGAGGAGTGGGACCAGCAACGTCAGCAAGCCCCACCCGCTCTTCCCACGGCTGTGTCCCCCGGCTGGGACCCCTGACCCTGGAATGAGAGACTGCGGCTGCTCAGTGCAGCCCTGAGCCCTGCGTCCTCAGGGACAGACTGCTCCTGGCAGGGAGATGGCTGCAGAGGAGACGGGGGGCAGACACACACATGGCCTGATTGCCGAGGGAGGCCAGGCAGCCCGGCGAGGGCCCTGTCTCAGAGAAGCCACCGGCTGCCTCCTGCTACCCGCTGGCACCCGGGACACCCCAAGGCCCCGATGCTCCCTTTGGCACTCTCACCGCCTTTCCCACCCCCAGCAGCTCCAGACAGTGCCTTCCCAGGAGCCCAGGACCCCCTCCCTAGGGCCGGGGCTGCAGGGCCAGCAGGGCCGGGGTGGGTCTGTGGAACGCAGCCCTCTGCCCACACTCAGGCCTTGGGGGCACGCAGAATACATTAGTCCTGGCCATTCAGCTCCGCCTCTCTAAGAACAATGGTGGCAACTGAGCTGATGTTTGCCAAATGACTGGCTTTAGGCCTTCAGGAGCAGACAAGGTCCACATTCAGGGCTCCAGAAGGGGCTGGCGATGGGCACCGGGCTACGTCCTGTGACCTGTGCTCTGAACAGCCCAGTGCCCGGGAAGGGGCCTGGGGGGGCACCACCCACCCGGGCCGCCCCGGGGCAGGGGGCTCAGCTTTTGTTTTGAACATGGGAGACCTGGGGCCAGCGGTCAGAACGGTCTTTGTTACTTGGAGTTTTGCTTAGGAAGAGCCCCAGCGGCTGGGAGAGGGGAGGGCGCTGTAATCCTGCCAACCTGCGTGAGGCGCCTGCAGTTGTGCACGGAGTGCAGCAGCCAAGCCACGTTCTGCGACCTCTTTGCCACTCCGAGTCTCGGGTCCTGGTCACTTCAGGAAATTGGAAATTCTATGCAGAAAGAAAACTCTGACCTTGCTTCCTTTACTTGCCATGCTGCGTGGGGAACTCTGAAAACAGAACCCGGAAAACAGGAAAGCCCAGTGCAAGTGTTGTGACCTTGAGCCAAGATAAGTGAGCGCAGGGCACAGCCTGCACCAAAGACAGGGCTGCTCTGACAGCATCTTTAGCCCTGCCGTGCATGCGGAGGTCAAAGCAGGGAGGCGGGAGAGCCCACTGCACACGCGTGCTGTGAGGAGCAGCCTCCTGTGACGCTGCCCCAGCCAGGGCCTGCCCCCCCCTCCCCGGTCTGCTCTGCAGTGACAGACTCTGACCACCCTGAGTGACAGACCCAGGACTCAGTCACAGGATCTTAACATTCGTCTTTGCATTTTTCTTTCAAATATTGCATTATCATCACTTAGATTTTTTTTTTTTTGGTGCACCCTGAGAAAGTCATTTCAAGCCCTCAAAGATTTGACATTGAACGCAGAGCATCTTAGGAGAGAACCCTGCCCTGCCTGTCCAGGCTCTGAGGTCGCCCACTCGGGGGGACCTTACCTACTTAAAATTGCACCCACCCCACCATTCTCTGCCCTCTTTCCTGCATACTTCTCATGCCCTTCTCACACAGTGCACAGTTTGCTCACTTATTTTGTTTGTTGTCTGTCTACCAGCACAAAGTAAGCTTCCCAAGGACAGAGACTTTTATCAGATTTGTTCCTAGCTGTATGTCCCAGGTCAGAGCCCTAGTACCTGGTAAGCACTCAATAAATAAAAGCTTGTGGAAGGAAGAAAGGAAAGAAGGAAAGAAGGAGGGAGGGAAGGAAGGAGGGAAGAAGGGAGGAAGGAGAAAAAGAAGGAAGGAGGGAAGGAAGGAAGGAAGGAAGGAAGGAAGGGGAGCTGGTATGGAGGAGGAGGGGAAGGGAGGGAGGAGGGAGGGAGGGAGGAGGAGGGGAGAGGGAGGGGTAGTTCGAGTTGATGTGAAAATAGGTCAAACATATGTATAGTATGGTTCCAGTTTTGCAGAAAGATAGAGGGAGAAATGAGAGAGGGAGGGAAGGAAAAAAGGCAAAAAGACAGCTAAGAAAACCGGAAGTAGATGCGCTGAAATGTTAGCTACGTAAGAGTGCTGGGATCGTAGGTGTTTCCACTGTCTTGTTTCGGCTTTTCTTCATTTCCTAACATTTCCACAATGATGACATGTCATTTCTGCAAAAGAAAATTAAAAAAAAAGATAAAGGCATAAAGATTATTAATTTTGAAGAAACGAAGATAGAAAACAAGGACAGCATCAGTCTTCTCGTGGGCAGAAGGAACCCCGTGAGTCTCTGAGACCAGCCTCAGTCACGCGGGTTCTGAAAACCCCACCTCACCTGCAGCCTCGGCAACTATGGCAGGGACTTGGCGGGCGGGGCGGGGGGCGCAAGGGCTCACGTTTTCCAGATAATCGCTGCCATTGTCCGGTCAGCGGCACACATGGAGTCATGTTCTCCATCTTTCTTCCAGGCCACACAGAAGCGAGCGAGGGAGTGAGAATCTGAGGCCAACAACCGTCAGCAAATACTTAACAAGCTCCTACTATGTGCCGGGAGCTGCACCCGAGGTGTGTCCTCTCTGTCTGTCTGTCTCACTTGCTCAGACACACACCCTCCTCTCCTGCTCACCCCTCCCCACCCGGCCTGCGTTCACCAACCCCGCGCCCTGCTTAGAGAACAGAGTCCGGTCTCTTCCCCTGTTCCAGCTCTGGACAGGGAAGCCCGGGCGGTTGAAACGAACGCAGAGACACGGAGCAGCCTGCCCGAGGGCTCGCAGTCAGCCGGGTGGACGCTGGGGTGGCCCCCCACAACGCCCCCCGGGCCCCTGCAGCCTCCCGCCCTGCTCGGCCGGGAACTGGCGCTGCCTGGGGGACCCGCCCATCGGGGGCCATGCCAAGAGCAGAGGCTTGGAAGGACATATACCTGTCATGCCAGGACGGCGCTTGCCAGAACCCCTTTCCGGCTGCAGGAATTCATCCTGTAACAACTTGCCACACAAAACACACCTTTCCCGTTTGGACTGGACACTTGCCCGGGACAGGAGGGAGCTGAGAGGCTGCCCTGGGTGCTGCAGAGGCCGGGAGGCGTTCGGCCTCAGGAAAGGCTGGGCGCGCTGTGGGCTGCCCGACAAGAGAGGGGAGGGCAGGGCTTGGTGCTTCGGGCACGGGGAGCATGGCGCCAGGTCGTTCTCCAGAAGGAAGGACCCTGCCCCGGGTTCCAGGGGGTGGCCAGCTCTTGATCACATGCTGTCTCAATACAGCGATGATAGCTCCAGCCTTCGTGCCACCCTCCCGTCACTGCTGAGTGCTGGGTCCCGGGGGATCCAGGTAAACAGGAGACGGATCCACGCTCGGGGCAGCCCCGGAGAGCTCACTCGCCTGTCCTCGAGCTGACGTGACCCCAGACCCCGGTCCGGTTCGGATGCACGCCTCGGGACCCGCTCAGGCACACGCGAGCACGGCGTGATCTCAGCGCGTCTGGGAGGAGAGTCGGCTGTGCGGAAACCGAGAAGGGACGGGAGACACTTTGCTCAGAGCCCCATGGCCAGCGAGGAGAGGAACCGGAGCCAGGCTCAGGAAAGCTCTGACGTGACGCGATGGCACTGCCAGGGAGCCCTCGGTTGCGAGGCTGACAGACCTTCCCGAGCCCCTGTTCCATGCATCGGGTCTGGCGTCACTGGGAGAGCCTCGTGCTCGCTCGGGGCCACCCCACGCCCAGGAGACACAGGCTCCTGCTGGGATGGGCGCCCCGGTGCCCTGTGCGGGGAAGTGGCTCCATCCCGCCACCCGCCACCGGCCACCCCCAGCGCAGCGCGGGACCACAGCACGCTCTGCTTCCTTCCAACCGTGGTGGCCACACAGCAGGGCCCCTTCCCAGGAGGGGGCGGAGGTGGACATTTGGGCAGTGCTTTCCAATCTGCAAGTCCTTTCCTTTTCTCTGTCTCTCTTTCTTTCCTCCTTTTTAAAAAGAAAGCGAGGTCTCTATTGTGCCCTATTGTGTACCGGCTGCCTGGCCCTGGTGCTCTCGCCCTGTCTCATTAAGATGGATGGGGTCGCTGCCTTATTAATAGTTGGTCAGGGCCCTCTTTGTTCCTCGTCCCCTCCTTGCTAATGACGCCTGCTCCGGTGGCTCCACACGGAGCCTGCAGCTCTCGGGCTAATGGGGGCAGCTCCACTGCGCTGGCGGGGGGGGGGCGCTGCCAAGGCAGAGCACTGTGCCCTGGGGAGGGTCTCCACGCTCCCCCCTGCAGATCTCAGAATCACAGGGAAGGGCTGCAGGTGACCCCAAAGGGTCATTCAGCCTGAGGGACCTGCCCTGAGTCACCCGGGGGGGGGGAGTCAAGAAACCCAAATCCTAGTCCTGGATCTGCCTGGAGCCCCCTCCCTGCCCCGCTCTGTCCTTTGCTGTCCTCCTCGTGCTGCCTCTAGCTCATTCCCGTGAGCTGTCTCACCAGCCCGGTGGCAGGCACGCACGGGTGTCAGGCGAGGGGTACAGAGGACGTGTTCGGTCGTCACTTCGTTCGGCACACATCTTTCGGAGGGTCCACGATGCGACAGGTGCCATTTAGGCGAGGGGCCGCAGCAGTGAGCAAGGCAAGCACGTGCGCTGGCATTCACCGTGTCCACCTCCTAAGGGAGGTTCAAGTCCCTGAGGGCCAGGATGTCTTTCGTGCAATGACTGGGGACAAGCAGGCATTAAGTTATGTGGGGTTGACACCTGGCTAGACTTGGCCAGAGGTTCAGGAAGGAGGCGGAAGCCGAGGTGGGTTACACCAGGCCAGCAAGGAAGAGGGTGTGGGGCGCCCCAGGGTGTTCCGGGGGGCAAGGCTGGAGCTGGGGCACGGAGCAGAACCAGGGCTCCGGTGTGCTGTGTGGCAACCGCAGGCACCTCTGTCCTAAGACTTTCTAACTGACACACCCAGCATTTTAAAGCCCCACCTCTCCTCACTCCCAATCCTGCTGCTCTCGTCCCAGATGTCTGGGACGCAATCCGGGGGTGCGGGGCCCTCAGGGAAGGCTTCCAGGTGAGGGACCCCCATGGGCCGATGTGGCCTCTGAATTCTGACTTTTCTCAATTAGCCCACTCCATGGCTTCAGAGAGCAGAGTAACAGAGAAATCACCGAGGCAGGAACCTCCGGGTGGAGGTAGACCGCAGCCGTTGGTGCCAGCAGTTTGTAAAAGCCTTTGGCTGCATGAATTATGCTCTGCTCGCAAGTTCAGACTTCGCCAGGCCTGCCCTTCCTGAGCCCGAGCTACCCCTCGCCCTTGCCAGCCTGCTCCACCACCTCCCGCCGAGAAGCTGGGAGTCTGTCCTCAGAAAGTCCCTCTATGGGCACAGAGACCCGTCCACCTCCGCCCAGGCCCCAGGAAAGGAATACAATGGAAAGAGAGAGATGATGTTTGCGTTTTATAACGCTGCTTGGTTTTCTTGAAGCCCACCAGACTTTTCTATGCCCTGGGCTCAACAACTACAACTTAAGCACGCGGCCAAACAGGACAAGGGTCTCTCTGCTCATGGGAGGGCCCATGTGGGGATTCCGGCCCCAAAGCCCCCTCCCCCACCACTGCCGTGTCAAGAAGATGGATGCCCCTCCCCCAACCTGTGAATGGGAGGCCGGGCGTCCTGACCTTGAGTGGGAGAGCTTGGCGGAGCACAGGGTGGGCGCGCACATGCGCACACACACTCTCTCGCTCTCACACGCGCACACACACACACGCACACACACCCTCCCAGGATCCGCCAGGGGAGGCTTTTTTTATTCTCAGCCCCACGTGGGGCTGCATCTCCCACGGTCCCAGGAGGGGAGTTCGGTGGGTCCTCCCTTGTACCTGGGAGCCGGCCGGGTCCTGGGTCCAGTCTGGTTAAGATTTCGGAGATGCTCCTTTTGGGCCTGCTCCCTGAATTTACCTACGAGAAAAGAAGGACGACCGCTGACCACGCAGGAGGGCCGCCCATGCCAGGCACGGGAGTGCTGGGGTGCACGAGACGCTGACCCGCACCGGGCCCCACGCGCAGAGACCCCCCCGGTCCCCACCCACTTCGCTCTGCCGCCTCGGACTCTGACCCACTCTCCTCCCTCCGGCGTCACCGCTGGTGGCATGGTCGGTGGCCTTCCTCCTCAGAGCCCAGCAGCCGCCACAGGGAGGGGGGAGGCTGGCAGGGCCTGCGCTTGGCCCCTCTCCGGTCACCTGTCCCCCTGCACCCTCCTTCATGCGGTTCGTAACGCGATTCGCACACGTGTCTCTGAGCGAGTCCGCCCAGCCTAAAGCGGCGGCCATCCCAGCAGCTCTCTCGTAAGGGGTGTTGGCGCGTTTAAACAAGGCCGTGCGTGTGAGAGGCTAGGGATGCGTGACAAACCACGCCGCCCCCGTGCGTGTTCCTCTCTGCTGGGCGGTGGGGCCCCTGCCCGTCTGCAGTGCCGTCACGCTGCCCCCGTGCGTGTTCCTCTCTGCTGGGCGGTGGGGCCCCTGCCCGTCTGCAGTGCCGCCTGGCCGTCCCCTCCCAGCCCCAGCTCAGCCCCAGAGCACCCTGGGTGTCGCGAGTTGCACGTCGGCTAAACTGCCTTCGGTTCTGCGCGCCAGCCTCTCCCAACCTGGCGGCATTGGGGGTGCCACCCCGAGGGACGCGTTTGTACCCAGATGCTGGGACCCAACGTTCTCAGCGCCAAGGCATCTGCATACGGGGACTTCCTGACCTAAACCAAAGGAGGGTTTAGTGGCAGCCATGTGAGGCACTGGGGCCAGGGCGCAGGAGGGAGAATAATTATCAGGGAAAAGGCACCCTTAACACTCGTGAAAACACCCGAGGAGGCAAGCCAGCCTCTCGTTCCAGAGGACAGCTGTGCCAGGCACATTCACGCTCCCGAGTGCCGAGTGCCAGCGGCTCTCTGCGCCACCAGCAAAGCTGGAAGGCCTCAAACTCTGCCCCCCAGAGCATTTGGAACGCCCTTCAGGCCAATGTTTTTCTTCCCTAACAGCCATCCGTCACTGAGCCACGAGGCCATGCCCGGCGCTGCTTCCTCCCCGGATTCCCGCTGCGGCACGCGGTGCCTGGCGGCAGGAAGCGAGGCTGCCCTAGCCAGCAGGGACGCCGGCTTTCCCAGGCTCGGCGAGAGCAGGTGCGGACTCCATGTCTCGCACCTGAGAAGGGCCAGGAAGAATCGCTGCTGATGC